AAATTCATTAAAGTGAAAGACAACAAAACCCAGTTCCATGAGTCTCCCATGAAGTGCTCTACGGCCCCACGTGGCCAGAGGCTACTGCACTGGACAGCACAAAACAGAACGTTTTGAAGGAAGGTTCTGTCAGACAGAACACTGGCTCCAGAGACGGTCCTTGACCTTCAGGAGCGGAACAGCCAGCGCGGTGCGCTGTGTGCCGAGGCAGAGGAAGGCAGGCTTTCCCTCCCTGGCCACGGGCCACGCGCAGATGGAGATGACCAGCCCCTCTCCAGGTGTGCGGAGAGGGAGACAGGAATGGGCTTGGGGCTGAACGCACCAGGGCGCCAGCCCCTCCCTCAAGCAGGAAGCAGCTTAACTTGGGGATGCCTGCGTGGGGCACAGTGGGGACCATTCACGTCCCACTTCTCTGCCCCTACTCTGCACCGTCAGACGCTAGGGAGTAGGGCGGGACAGGAAGTGGCCAGATAAAACCCCCAAGGAGGGGCATGCCTGAGGAGGGCGGGGAGCCCCGGGGCAGGGGACAGTGGAGAGGCCACAGGGAGAAGAGGCTGGCGAGAGCAGGGGCCCAGACCAGGGCCCCACCTGGTCCCTTCACATCCCCTCATTTTACTGAGAGCAAGGAGCTAATCCCCCTGCCTGGCATCCAGCCTGGCACCCGGAATGCTGCGCTGAGTCAAGGGGGAGCAGGCGCGGGGAGGTGACGGAGAAGGGTCGGGGAGTGGCCGGGAGACCGGGTGATGGCGATGACTGAAGCAGAGGGTGGCAAAGGAGAGAAGGATGGAAGGACGCCAGGCCCTGGTGACTGGACAGGGAGACAGTGAGCTGGGCCTCGGGACTCGACTGCACGGAGCGCAGGACAAGCTGGAAGGCTGCGCTGCCGTGCGCCTTCCGCAGTCACTGCCGCACTAACGGCTCGTCTTCCGCCCCAGTCGTAAATAGGAGTCTTGGGGAGGGGCGTCCCGAATCCCGTGCCCCTCCCTGGATGCCCATCTTGCGCACGGGAGGACTTGGTAGAGCCGTCGGCAAGGATGAGGACACCTGCCCAGGGTCTGAGCACCAGGCGGAGGCAAAGGAACAGACCTGTGCTGTCAAACTGCCCAGGTGGCAGAACGCGGAGAATGGGACCACCTAGCACGAGGGAGGCCGCAGGGACGCAGGACCCGAAGGCCTCAGCAGAGCGAGAGGAAAGCAATGCGGGGAAATGCTCACGTCTGGGAATCTGGGTGAGGAGCATTATGTTTGCAACTTGTGTATTATTTCAAAACAGAGTTTTAAAAAAACTTAAAAATGAAACAAATTTAATTTAGAAGTCCTAATTTTGTTAGAACTGACTTCTATCGGTGCTCGAGCCTGTCTGACAGCTGCCACTATGGCCAGCAAGAGGCCGTGCGGTGGCCCCGGCTCCCGGCCTCGGCCATCTGGCCGGGAAGCGCCTCTGTCTGCCCATGGTGCCTACGCCCATTTGTTTCCACACTTCAGGGAGACACTTGTACTCCTGCAGTCCCTGGTACAGCCACAGTGGACCAACCTTTAGAGGCAACTAGGAAAGGCAGCTCTGGCCAGCACCTTTTAACAGCTTCCTCTAAAAAAAAAAAAAAAAACCCAATTTAAAAAAAGATGTCAAAAACTGCTCTTAGCATTACAACGTGGCAAAAGAAGGTATCACATACTCTGGCCAAGCGGCGGTGAATCTACCATTGTAATATGGAAAACACTAAAAACTTCTGATTCAATGTATTGATTCTCTTACAAAAAAGGCATAATGACAATCTCCATAGAGTAGGATTATGGCGGTGTTGGTGTCTCAGCTTAACCCTATCCAAATGGTCTTTTATGAAACGGATTACTTTTATTTAACTAGGAAAAAATAAGTTTCGGATAAAACTTCCCTCCACTTGGATGCTTTCCTTACATCACATGTCGAATCCTCAGCGAATACCCACACGTCTGTCTTGTCGGCAGAACGACCCCTTGAGTTGCTTGAGACGATTTGGGGAGTGTTACTAGCAGTTTCTTTAGGGACGAGAGTTCATATTTTAAGGCAAATAATGACGACTAATAATTCACATGCTGTCTGTGAAACATGATTTTTCCTCTCAGAAGCCAAGTGGTTTCACCGCTGGGAAAAGGGCTCTCTGCTGCCTGGCTAAGTGCGGCAAGCGCGGTGGCTAGGCATACTCCTCCCTCTGAGGTCACGCGGGGACACTCCCAAGGAGGGGCGTCCTTCCTGCTGCCCACCTCCTTCCATTCCAGTGGGAAAGAACTTGAGGGATTTTTAAAACTGTGTAGCAGAACCGCACCACCCAAGGCTGCCTGAGAATCCATCAAAGGCTCTGCCCTGACCCTGCCAAATCCACCTGCCACAATTCTCCAGGCGACCAGCGATGGCACTTGGCACTGGAGATGACATCCAATTTGCCAGGTCTGCAACTCGCTAGCTTTACAGAGGCAGCCACCACCACCCAGAGAGGTGAAGAGGCTGGTCACAGGGTGTGCGGCTCCTGAGAGCCGGGCTGGCAGGCAAGCGGCACCTGCCCACTCCACAGCGCGGCCCCTCCCTGGACCCCGCCACCTCTAGCTGCCGTCACTCCCATGAAACCAGCCACCCAGTGTGAAAACACACTCGGAACCTCTCACTGTGTCATTACGGGCAAGAAATAGGGAACAGGGATATGTGCTCTGCTCAAGGCTTTAAAACCCCCTGCAGGGTCTGTCTGCCCCAGGGCTGCAGGAGGCTCAGGTTACCCGTCTCTGACTAAGCCTCTAGAGCAGAGCTGCTGGGGCCGGAGCTTCCGCCGACCGCTCACTCAGGAGCTCCTCTGCACCAAGACACGCGTGCAGCCTGTGACGTCCAGCTCCCGTGTTATCAGACACACATCTATGTGATCACGAGTCCCTGCCTAGAAATAGAAGCCGACCCACCGTGCACAGTGGTCTTTTCCACAAAACTGGAATCGAATGTCTGCCTGAGGCGATAAAGGAGCAAGCAAGGCAAATGTTCTCAGTGTTGTGCCTTTCTTCAGTTGTAAAGACCTGAGGTCTTTCCAAGGGCGTGCCATTCGCATTTAATCATAGCCGCCATGCCGGCCAGCTAAGCATCAGCTTGCTCTGAGGCTCTGCTCAGGAAGTCTCCATGCAGCGTCTCTAAATAGCTGGGGCAACGGTGTGTCTCGGCCTAAAGGCAACCTCTTAGCCGCCCACCAGCTTAGTCCAGCAGGAGCCTGAGCAGGAGGGCGGGGGATACACTGGTGGCTGCATGTGAGCTGCACAGGGCAGAGCAGAAGGACTGATCCATGCAGAGCTGAAGATACAAGGTTATACAACCTTAAGATACAAGGTTATAATTCTTAGCCTGAAGGTTGTCCATTTTGATTTCCACCTTTTAGTTCCTTCTGACCCACTATATAGACCACACAGGTCAGAGTGTAAGAAAAAAATCCCACTTGAAACCTCAGTCAGGCACGAATGGGCACCGAGGACGGTGAGAGAAGTGGAGGGCAGTGCCCGGCACGAAGAACGCGGCCACAGCTTTGCGGCGGGGCCAGGGGAGCCCCGAGACCAGACTTCTGGGGAGCACCCTCTGAAGCCCCACAGCACGGCGCGGAAGGAAGCGCCCAGGCCAGGCGCAGGGTTCAGTCTGCATCCTGCCCCATGCTCCTGGGCCTGTGACCTTGGCCCAGCCCTTCCACTTCTCTGGGTCAGGTTCTGTCCCAGTAAGATGCCCAGGGTCGCTCCGAGCTCTAACACCCCCTCAGGCTGGGGGAGCTTGGGCATCCCAATCAACAGACGACAATCTCCTGACAGACATGAAACCCAAACGGAAAATAAAGCCCAGTAAGAATGGTACAAGATACTGTCATCTTTTACAGACGTGCTTTAAACCAACCAGGGCATAAACCACCTTGGTTTAAGAAAAAGTCAAAATACTGAGACAATCTTTTATTTCACTACTAAAGTCAGGAATATGTTAAGCCAAATTAACTGAAAGGGAATTTAAACTCACTTAGTAAGATGCCTTCTATTCACAAATCAAAGAGCATCCCCTAACTCCTAGAATAACAGACTCTCTGGGCTCAGAGATCACCTATTGCCGTTCATTCCTTTGATTGACGGAAAATTAAAACCCAGAGCCGGCCAGTGATGTGGCCAAGGTCACGGAGGCCAAGAAGGGACGAGAACCCACACTCCCTGACCCTGCTCCACCCTGCGGACTCCCACAAGGCCGAGGCCCCAGAGCTGGACACCGCGGTGGATGGATGGAGTCAGAGCGCTCCCTACATGCACCATTCTCCCAACTGGTTCACAAATAAGCCACTTGCAGGTTATGAAGACAGCCTAGAACACAACTAAATAGTTCCAAATCCTACTCTGATCTGCCCAGAAGCCAGAGTGGAGGTCCTCGGCGCCCCGTCCATCAGCTAACACCCTCACCAGTGGAGGGAGCAGAGGGAAAGACGTCAGCTCCATAAACCTGGGCCCTTCCCCAGCACAGAAGCAGCCTCGCTGTGGCTGGGCCGTGTTTACATCCATCACCAAATTCACCATGTCACACGCCTTCAAAATACTGGATTAGGGACAAGGAAAAGGCCTCTTCCTGCTGCAGCGCCGTAGGGAAATCAGAGATCCCTTTCTGGGAGGGTTTACAATTGCAGCAGCGAGCAGAGGTAGTAACTGGGGTCTGGGAAACCGGTTTGGCCCCAAACACGCAAAAGCAAAGGGGACCGGTGTGGAAGCGGGGAGGGGAGGGAGGCCCGCCCGAGGCTGAGTGCCCCTCAGGAGCGCCCGGTCGGGAGGGGCGGTCCCCGGGCGGGCAGGAGTGGGGCAAGCCGGGGCGGGGTCCCGCGGAGGGGAGGGGGTCTCCAGGCGGGGCGGGGGATCCGGGGCCGGCGGGGAGGGGGGTCTCCGGGACAGGGAGGGGGGTCCCCGGGCGGGGAGGGGTCCCGGGGCGGGGGGGGGATCCCGGGAGGGGTCCCGGCCCCGCGCGGCCCACGCACCTCCTCGGCCTGCCTGCGCAGCGCCTTCTCGCGCTCGTACTGGGTGAGCAGCTGCTCGTTGTCCTCGCGCAGCAGCTCCAGCTCCACCTCGTGCTCCTGGTTCTCGCTGAGCACCGAGTCCAGGTTCTCCAGCACGTTCACCACGAGCGGCATGAGCTCCTTGACCACCTCCTCATCGTAGCAGTGGATGAGGCGCTCGAACTCGCGGTAGATGGAGCCCGCCAGGCCCGACACGCGCTCCGACATCACCGAGCCGGAGCAGTAGTCGTCCTGGTACACCACCACGCCGCCGCCCTCGTCCATCTGGATCTCCATCATCGCGGCCACCGCCGCCGCCAGCGCGGCCCGCTGTCCGGCCGGCGCACCCGGCCCGCCCGCCTGCCTCTGGTCTCGCAGGCCGCGGCCCGTCTCCTCCCGCACCGCCGCCGCCGCCGCCGCCGCTGCTGGTGCTGATGCTGCTGCTGATGCTGCGCCCGTCACTCAGCTGCCGGAAGTCCCGCCCGCCGCCGGAGGGGGCGGTGCCCGCGCGGCCTGCGGCGCCCCGTCACGCCGCCAGGGGGCGCGGGCGCCGTGGCGTCAGAGGAAGTTGGTCCGGGCCGGAAGCGCGGCTGCGTCTGGCGGGGCGCTTCCGGGCGGGTCCGTCCAAATGGTAGCGCTGCGGGGTTGCGCTCCCACCCGCAGGTCGTCACCGGCCCGGGCCCCGCCCGCCTCCCCCGGAGCGGTCTGCGGTCACCTTCGGAGCTCCCTCACGCACTGCCCCGCGCCAGGCGCCCCAGCGCCGGCGGCTCGGCCTCCCGCCCTCGGCTGCCCAGTGTGTGACTTCCCACATCTTCCGGTTTCTTTCCAGCTATGCGTAATCTATTGAACCCATCCATTGGGTTTTTAATTTCAGTGATTATATTTTTGTCCTACTTGATTTATTTTGTTCTGTTCTACCAGTTTTGATAGGCTCTTACTTCTTATACTTTCAACCACTTACCTTTAGGGTTTTTCTTTTTTTTGGTATCTCATAATTGCAGTACCAGCAGCCTTTGCAGGGCTGACTCTGCACTTTGTCACCTTGGTTGCCTCTTGCTCAGGCTCTTCTCTCAGTGTTCCCTGGGACTTTACCGCAGAAGTACTTTCAGCCCTCAATTTAAAATGAGTTGCTCCGGCTGGGCACTCTGGGAGGCCAAGGCAGGAGGATCACTGGAGCCCAGGAGTTCAAGGCTGCAGTGAGCTATGATCACACCACTGCACTCCAGCCTGGATGACAGAGCCAGACTTGGTCTCTTAAAAATAAAAAGAGTTGCTCCAGAAGACTTGCATTGTCTTCCACTAGGCACCTGAGGACACCATGAACTACAAAGTTTGAACTTTCACTTTGGGGGCCACATAGGTAGTGTGAATGCTGATCAAAGACCCATCAGTAGCCAGGTGTGGTGTGCACCCAGCTACCCTGGAGGCTGACGCAGGAGGATCCCTTGAGCCCAGGAGTTCGAGGCTTCAGTGCACTGTGATCTCACTTGTGAATGGACACTTTACACCAGCCTGGACAACATAGGAAGACCCCACCTCTAAAAAAAATTTAAAAAAACCAAAACCCAAACCCATCCATGACTGCTTAATGCTAATTGAATGGTTTCTTACTACTGCTGTTCACCTGCTGAAATGCCTTCAGGTCCGCTCAGATCCTCTCACCCTAACCTGACTGCAGCAAGACAATGAACTCTCCTATAGCTGACACCATAAATACTACTGTATTTTCCACATTTTCCCCTTGCAACATTATCTGATGTATCAATGTTCACCCACCCCACTAAGAGACAAATTGTCTAAGGTTTCAGTCTCAGATTCAAATTGCCTGGGGTTAGATCTTAAGTGACTTAATTTTCCCAAGTCTCCATTTCCAAGCCTGCAAAACTAAGCCTAAAATATTAAAACCAATTAGGAATGTGAGCTAACCCGTGAAAGAGACATAGCACCACCTCTGGCAAATAGTACATGCAATGAATGTTATGTACAATTGTTAAATTTTATATTGTTAAAATGGCATGCATATAAAAACAAAAAAGAAAAAAAAATGCCATGCATGATTCTTCATGGTGAGCAGGTTACAGAGCAAGCTTGTATTCTGGGGAATATTTTAGTGCTTCTACTTTAGGCCTTTTACAGAAATTTGACCTCTTTGAACTCACAAAGTAACACACTACAGCAGAAGCAACCCTCCGTGCTGCAGGGAGAGGCCAACTGACTTGGCCATCAATGTTAGTAATGTTTATTACTACCACGATTGGGGCAGATTTGTTACTTGAAATTTGTTAAACAAAATGAAATTTAAACAAGATGACATTCTCAGGTCTTTCCTGGTATGACAAAAAATAAATGAGATGACATGCTGAATAATTCTTGATGTTTGCTGAATAGTACAACTGGTCTGCTCTTTAAAAGTTGAAGCTAACTGAATTAGAACTTACTTCTAAAGAGTAGATTTTCTTTCAGATTTGGAAAGATTATTTGGGATATAACTTTTTCTCATTAAAAGGCCCTAAATTGTAAGACAGGCACACAAGTTTCAAAAGTTCTATTTTAATTTCTAAGTATCTGTCCCATTATAATACCTGCTAAAAAGTCACCTAGGTCCCTGTAATGTCCCTCTCCTTTCTTCACAAGTTGAATGTTAGATGGCATCTTTAATTAATTAATTTAGCCCGTCAAATGTAGCGGGGGGGGGGGGATTGTATACCAACTTCAATCACACTAATGTTAGTAAGTTCTGATAACCCACTGCCATTGGACCAGCCAGGATGGCATCTTTACACAGCACTCTGTAGCCACGTATAAAATAGGAACACTTCATTAATGATCTCCAAGATGGTAAGGACTAAGAAAAGATTATGAGTTCAGAAGGAATGAACCAACTGACACGGGAGGTGTGCGCACGCTTGCAGGGTCTGACTCACCAAGGCACACCACAAAGACAACAGCAAGTTATGTGATGTCTAAGGAGCCAGTGTTTCTAGACACGCCATGGGCCTTGAAGTGGGACTCTTCGAGGTCTGTTCTTCACCCCTTCATCCTCCTCCACAGGTGGAGCCTCTGTGGTCCTTGCAGACCTGGCCACTGCCTCGCCTCTGGGGACAGATGAGTTGTGACTGTCCGAGATCTCAGTGCTTGTCTGCAGCTTGCGCAGCTGCCACAGATAGGTAATGTAGCACCGTCAGTGCCCAGCCCAGCCCCTGAACGCGCTCTACACTCAGAACACGCGCGTGGAACAGTAAAGATGGCGTTTCAGGTAACCCATGTTGGTTTTCTTCATCTGAACCCTGATCCAGCAGGCAGAATGGCGTGGAGCCTCCTAGAGGGGGCTCTGCAGGCAGGTAATCTGAGAAGTTTCATCACCCTGAATCGTGTGATGCACACGAGGATGTGAAGTTTGTTTGAGGAACGTATAAAAATAGCCGATGCATAAGGAGCAGAGACAGGACTTGGATCTGACGAGCTCTCGGGGTCACTTCGCTCAATACAAGGACTGTCACTGGTTTCAGAGCCAAGTCAGAGGCAGGTTAAACATCTTAAAAACACCCTTAGGACAAACGGTGTACGAGAAAAAATAATCATTACATTTAGTGGACAGAAACTGAGAACACTGGCATGTTCCCCACTCATTCTGCTTAAAGCTTTGAGATTAATTTGGGCATCCTTTGGCTAAATGAAAAAACAAAACAAAAACGAAACACACACACACCCCCAAAAAAGGCAAACCCCTTCACCAATGAAAAGCAGTAGGGAAAAGGGCAGAGTTCAGGCATTTTGTTTGGAGAACGACCCAAGCAGGAGATGCACACACAAAACAGGCAAAGACTTTGGGTATGTGATTGCTAAGTTTATTAAACTGTTATATCCAATTCTGCCTTGTAAAAATAACAAAAATGTTCCTATCAAAATTACATTGAGATATGAGTATAGGTTTTTTGGTTTAGATACAGCTCTAGAAAAATGTTGGCACCAAATGCACTTAAAAGCTTTAAGGCTTAATCAAAGTACAGAGTAGTTATTTCTCAATGCAGCTTAGAGGTGGAAAACAGGATGCTAATTTTTTAATCTTCCAAGTACAGGCAGTCCCCAATGTATAGAATACCCTCTAAATGCAGATGGCAACCACAGTGGGGCTCCGTGTGCAGCGACTCTCCTCCTCTTCTCCCTGACCAGCCCCGCAGCCTCAGCCAAGGAAAGGCAGGCGATGGGAAAAGAGTGAGGTGAGTTCTGTCAGTGCTGCCCAGGGGCCTTTGCTCTGGTTGACGGCTTCCTCACTCCCCAAGACGTTCCTTCTCATCCCTGGCTTCTCCCTTCTCCACCCGAAGTGCCTGCCAGCGGGCAGAACTAGAGAGCTCCCCGCACCTGGCTGACAGAGGGCTCGAGGGAGGGGGCAGGGCCAGCAGGGCAATGTCAGGTTTGTTCTTGGCAATGCAGCGTGGTTCACAAACCTTTTTCCATTAGAAAGCGTTGTGAGTGGTCGTTCATTTCTAACATCAGACTATTTCCTTTTAAGTAAAACAAATTAGCGTGTTTGGGCTTAAAAAGTTTACTACCATTTATGACGTTTTTAAACGGGAAAGAAAAAGCTCTGAATTCCTAACAACTCTCTTATAAATGACTGAACCACAAACCATTTGAATTGTGACAGAGTCGCATGGAATGGCTGTTTCTTGGCTCCAAAGTCTGCAGGGCAGCTGAAGGGGGGACTGTCTTTGGTTGACAAAGCCTCGTGCAGATGCCTCCATGTGCCAGGCACAGGAAGTGAGCTCGACAGGCAGTTCCTGCAGGCACTTAAGCAGGTAGGCCAGCGTGAGCCTCACTAACAGTTGTTGCTTTTCTATTAGTAAATTTTAATCACGATGATGTTTCTAGCACCAGGCGTTAGCTTTGTAGGCACTCAGAGCAATAGCTACCACCACCCAGACACTCTTCTCTGCAGACAGATGCCCGCCCAAGGGAAGCAGGGGACTGAAACTGCAGCCTTTTCGGGGTGAACGGCGGCGGGGGCGGGGGGACACTTCTGCCTGACAGATGAGCTGCCCACGGTCTTAGCCGCCAAGTGCCAGGGAACTGAACAGCTGTGACTGCTGCTAAACCACCTCAGCTCCTGGCCTAAGGTCTCCAGTCTCTTCCAGACGATTGTGACCATGGTCCAGAGGTTCTGCAAAGCTTCACAAAGGGTGGTCTAAGCAGGTTTTGTTCCTCTTTGGTGTACCTGAGCAAGTGACTTTTTTCTGAGAAGGTGTCAGGAACAGACCAGAATCAATAGCCATTTACGTAAAGCTGGTGTTTAAAAATAGCTTTTCAGGTATTAAAGAATCCAAGGTTCTCAAGCACCGATTCTTCCCACCAACCCACTGCTCGAATAAAGTGGGACACGGGAGAAGCTAAGTAAGCCCCTAACTCGGACATGTCTGAGCAGAGTTTCCAAGTCCTGCGAAGGTCGGTGGCGCGCACTTGCGGAAGAACCGTGGCTTGTTAGGGAACTGTCCACATCCCTGGAGAAGAACAAAGGCCTGGACTTAAGGGTGATGAGAGAAGAAAAGGAACAATTCACAAGCAAAACTGGCAGGTGAAGGAGCAAGGCCGTCCTTGCAAGAGAAGGGCAGATCCCTGCATGAGATGGGCCAGGGCTCTGGGCGGCAGAAACTGGGCAACTCAGAGGATTAGGGTCTAAAACCTTCCACAAAGCAGAAGACTGAGGACAACTTTTTGGTTTTTTTGAAAGCTGCCAAGGAGAAGCCATCAAGATGTTTTAAGAAAAGACTGCAAAAAAAAAAATACATTGGGGATAAAACAGACAGGAGACGCTGGGGCTCAGCAGGGTGGCCTCGGGATGGGGAGCGTGGTGAGGGGCACCTGGCGTTGGGATCCGAGGGGGTTGTCCAGACGCCGTCCCCAGCGCCTCGTGTCATTTCGCTCCCTCCCCCCAACGCAGAGGACGGGCTGTTTTGTTTCCTTTCCGTCCTTCCCAGGTGTCCCATCAGCTGGCGCAGGACACCTGCCTGGCTTCACCAAGCCTCCCACAACCCCGCGCCACCTCCCTGCCCTGGCCCACCGTAGAGTTCCTCTCACGTCTGGAACTAGGAGTGGGTGAAAGCCAGGGGACTCGCATTTTATCCCATGAAGACATGTCTCTCGCAGTCTGGAAGGCGTGGTCCTCTGGGCACCTCTCGTGATGTCAGCGGAGACCCCGAGCTGCCAGCCTCCCACACACGGCTAACCCTCTTCCCCCCCGGCTCGCTTGGGCTGCAGGAAACGACAGTATTGGCTACACCGACTCTGACTCTCTCGTCTGGCTGTGGTCAGGTAGTAATTGCTTAGTAGAAGGAAATGCTGGATTTGCCTCCTGGTGGGTTCAGGACTTTGTTGTGCGAGCGAGGCCGCGGCCCCAGCCTGGGCTCGTGGCTGTCTACCGTGGCCGTGGGCCCGTGCTCCGCGGCGTGGCCCGCTCCCCTGGCGCTGCCTCTCTCGCCCGGCTCTTCTCCAGGTGGGATGCTCACCGCAGCTGTGGGACAAAGTGAGCACAGCATCCTGTTAGAAGCAACCTGTCCCCCTGCCAGGCGTGCGGCGAGAGTCAAGGGTCACAGAGCAACTCGCAAGGAATTCACTGTTTCGGGGAAAGGAAGAAGCCGGGCTTCTCACCCAGCGCCAAGCCAGCCGGCTGTGCTTAGCAAGCGCGGCTCTGGACGGGCGCGTAACACTGGGGCTCGTTGCTACGAACGCGCTGTGGTTTCCTCCTGAGTGAGTTAGCTGTTTCTATTCTTGTTAGACTCCGCTCCCGTTTCTTCCGCCTCAACCATGAAGAGCAGACTCCCCAGGTGAGCATGGAAAGGAGGGAGCGCGTCTCAACAAGGCGGAGGCCAGGCTTCCTGTCACCACGGCTCTGGACTTTCTGAAGAATGAACTCCCGTGTGTCTTGGTCGTCAGTTTAGGGAAATGGTGACCCAAAGGCAGGAATCACTGGCCGGAGTCGGCTTGGAGAACCACGGTGAGAGCTGAAGTGTGACCTCCAGCTCGACCACAGAGTGGCTCCTGGGCGACCGACCACGGAGATGCCACGTCCCCGCCCCCACCCCGCCCTGCGTCCCTCCTTCCCACTTCCCAGCTCTCCTGCGTGCCCTCTCCTAGATTAGCTCTGCCAGCTCTACCACTGGTCGTGAGTTCATAAAGGGTGCGGGGTCCCTGCCCTTCGCTTCGTAGATCGGCTGCTAGGAAGACACCACCTTGGTCTTAGGCCTGGGACCATAGGCAACAAGGAAAGGAAACCTTTTCTACCCCAAGCTGCTTCAAATGCAAATCCTCTCGGCAGCGGGCACAGCAGCTGGCCTGGAAGGAGCAGAGAGACGCTGCCTTCCGTTCTCTGGGGACGTACCAGCAGCCCTCCCAGAACGAGGCCACTCAGGAAGCAGCAGCAGGAAACAAAAGCTCACCTTTAAGGTCCGATGTTGGCTCTTCTCCTTCACGTAAGAAAACGTGATCCTGCAACAAAGCGAACCGGCAGGTCAGCAGTTGGGTCAGAACCTTTCCACCCTTCCTCAAATGGACAGTGAAAACCGGGACGTGGGTAACTCTAACTTTCGAGCCTTTTTAGAGACAGGATCTCGCTCCGCCGCCCAGGCTGCAGTGCAGTGGTGCGATCACAGCTCACTGCAGCCTCGAGCTCCCGGCCTCAAGTGATCCTTCCGCCTCGGCCTCCCGAGTAGCTGGGATCATGCCCGCGTGCCAACACGCCTGGCCGACTTTTTAATTTTTAAAAAATGTTCTTACTATGGACAATTTTAACCGTAAACAGAGTAGAGAGAGTAATACCGTGAACCCACTTAACCCTCCGTGCAGGCACAGTTGACACCGACTCCTGCCCACCCTCGTCTTGGCCACTCTGTTCTCCCAACTTCGGGCCCCCAATCCTTCTATGGGATTACTCGCAAGCAAATCCCAGATATCTCATTTATCCATAGATGGTTCAAGATGTGGCTCTTAAAAATGTCCTTTAAAAAAAAAAATACTCAAAACTGCAAATATTAATGATACCAAAGCCAAACTTTAAACATCAGCACAATGTTTTCAAGGCTGGTCCCGCCGTAGCACGTGTCAGGGCTCCATTCCTTTCTAGGGCTGAGTGATACTCCACCGCACAGACAGCCTACCTGTCATTACCCATCCATCCGCGGGGGGCGCTTGGGGTGTTTCTACCTGGGGCTCTTATGGATATTTTGCTACGAAAATAGGTGTGCAAGTATCTGTTTCAATCCTCCTTTTCAAATCTTTTGGGTGCACGCTTAACAGTGGCGTTGCCGGATCATCAGGCAACTCTAGGTTTAACTTCTGAAGAGCCACCAACTGTTCTCCACAGCAGCCACGGCATTTTACATCCCTGACAGCAACGTAGGAGGGCTCCAGTTTCTCTACATCCTTGTCAACGCTAGTTATTTTCTGTTTTTACATCATCGCCATTCTAGTAGGTGTCAAGTGGTATCTCGCCATGGTTTTCTGGTTGTTTGTTTTTTTTAAGAGATGGGGTCTCATTCTGTCGCCCAGGCTGGAGTACGGTGGTGCGATCACAGCTCACTGCAGCCTCGAGCTCCTGGCCTCAAGGGATCCTCCTGCCTCAGCTTCCCAACTAGCTGGGACTACAGGTGCGCACCACGACACCCCACTAATTTTTCCATTTTTTGTAGAGACGGGGTCTCGAACTTGCTCAGGCTGGTCTGAAACTCCTGGTGTCAAGTGACCCTCGTGCCTCAGCCTCCCAGAATGCTGTTATTATAGGCGTGAGCCACCGCGCCCAGCATTTCCCTCTTTATAGTCACCTTTGATGCACAGTTTTTAATATTAATGACGTCCAATTTATTTATTCTTAATTTTGCTGCCTGTGTTTTTGGTGTCTTATCTAAAACTCCATCGCTAAGGACAAGATCATGATGATTTGTCTCTACATTTTCTCCAAAGAATTTTATAGTTTTAGCTCTTAACTAGGTTCTTGGTCCATTCTGAGTTCATCCTTACATATGGTGTTAGGTAAGGGTCCAGCTTTTATCTTCCTGCACGTGCACGTGCAGTCCTCCCAGCGCCATTTGCTGCAGAGACTGCTCTATTCCCACTGGATGATCCCGGCACCCTTGTGGAAAAAATCAACTGAACAAAGAGGTATAATTGGGAGGGTCTATTTCTCAGTTCTCAATTCTATCTACCAGTCTGTATGTCTGTCCTTACACCAGTACCATGTTGTTTTAATTTGCTTTGTGTAAGATTTGAAATCGGGAAGTATGAGCCTCCAATGTTTTCCTTCTCAAGACTGTTTTGGTTATTTGGGGTCCCTTGAGATTCCATATGAATATTAGGATGGATTTTTCCATTTTTGGAAAAAATTCTTGAGACTTTGGTAGGGAAGGGACTACAGTAAGTCTCTCCTTAATCTCCAGGACCGCCCCCACGGTCTGTCCTGCAGTTTCCTGCATGTCGCATTACTCTGAGAGCACCCCTGTGGGGTTAACATGGGGTTTGGTCTGATCTAGGTTTGACTTTTTGACAAGACGATGTCAAAGGTGGTCCTTGAGGGACTCATTACCAGGCCCGTAGCATTTTGGGACGTAACAGCCACTGATGACCATTGTCTAGATCCACAATTTCATTACAAGTTTGCAAAATGGTGATACTGTAGTTCCGTCACTGTGCCTTCATTTACCGCCAGGAGTACTTTTACGAAAGGGAACTTTCCCTTAACAGCTGCTATCCTGCCATGCGGTTCACGCAGGAAACGCTGGCTCGGAGCTCTGTTTTGTCCTCCCCCTGCTGCACGAATGGGTCCTGTGGCATTCTCCAAAGGTCACAAATTAGATGATTTTTAGTACCATTACGAGCCCATGAATTCCAAACCGTTGCAATTACTGTACTTGTTAAGGAGCAAACAGCCCCACTTCGGGCCCGTGGTCCCCTTCACGCGCTGGTAGAAGTCCTGGAACCACCCAGCAGCCTGTGGGGCTCCTGGCTTTCTGGTATTGCAAGATGCTCCAGGCTCACCTTGCCTGACCTTGACCCGGAATTGGCCACTTCTCCAGTGATGCTGGGGATGCCCAGTGGTCCTGGATCAAAAGACCTTCATGTTTATTAAAAAGCAAGGGAAGCTCTATTCTGTTTCTGCCTGTTCTACACCCAGTTGTCTCTGCCCAGTCCACAGTCGCCGGAACATGTGAGTCACCACAGGAGGCATCTTACCCTTGAGTTCGGCTGACTCAAGCCCTGCTCCTGGTGTGGAATTGCTGCCTTTTAGGCCATTTCCGGTCTCGCCAAGGTTCAGCCTATAGCGGAGCCCCCGAAGATACTTTTCAAAGAAATGCTCTCTTAAAATAACTCAAACATAATGGTCTAGGAACACGGTAGAGGCTCCTGCCTGGTTCCCATGAGACTAGACTGGAAAAAGACGTCACTGCGAAGTGCCCACGCGGTGGTGTCGTGGGGCAATCAAAAGTGAGTGCTGCTCCCACGCCCACTGTTCTCTGCCTGTCTCGGTTCTCTTCAAGCTTCTGTTTCAACTCTGCAACGGGCTACCTTCTGGCATGTGAACCAACAAAAGTTCAGCAATTTTCTAGGCATAAGCAACTCCAGAAGTGGTTAAGAATTTTTCGTTTTAGGGAAGGAGACTGTACCTTCTGACCACAATAAAGGTGGAAAAGCAAATAAATAACTTGAAAATATTGCCAATAATTATGTTAACAAAGACCCTGGCCTCTATTATGAGTCTGGCTGCAGTAAACCCCAGAAACGTTCTGCCACCACTCAGGCAAACAAACGTCCGAGCAGGGGTGGTACAGGCTCTGGTCCTCCGGGAAGCCAGGACTGGCCTTGGTCGAGCCCTCCCTGCGGCCCTGAGGCCACAGATCTAAGCAGTACTCCCTAGGCCACATCCAAAGCCACACTGCTCAGGCATTCTACTTCCCAGTGGTTCGGAGTCAGTGTCGTAAGCGCAGAGACTCTGCTGGTATTATTCTCAGGGTGCCTTCACTGGTCCGGAGGCGCCAACTACACGTTAGTCAAGCACCACGAACCTGCACAGGTAACGAGCACGAGGACTTTGCCCTGGTGAGGGGCGATGCCCATCGAAAGCCACCACTGGCCAGGTGCGGTGGCATGGTCTGTGATCCCAGCACTGTGGGAGGCTGAGGCAGGAGGATCGCTTGAGCCCAGGAGTTCGAGGCTGCAGTGAGCTAAGATCACACCACTGCACTCCAGCCTGGGCGACAGAGCAAGACTGTCTCAAAAAAACCAAAAAACCAAAAAAACCCCAACAAACGGGGGGAAAAAAACCCCATCATTTTTCTCTTCCAAAATGAAATAAGAACAGGGAAAAATTCCTGAGGGTCCGACTCCTCATGAATGCTCAGTTGTGTGACTCTCCCCCAACAGCAGCCACAGGCTGTGTGCAGAACTGCCCGCCAGGGCTTCCGTCAGCACCAGGCTCGACGTTTCTGCGGTGACTCAGCAGAGGCTCCAACTCAGTGACTAACGGCTGCACCAGGAAAAGCATCGCCGTCCACCGGCCCCTTCCCACCAACAGGCCACACCTGGCTCAGAGCCTTTTTAAAGACACTTGGCTTGTTGCTCTTGCACGTCTGCTGCCTGAATGCAGTGCCTACCTTGGGTTTGTTTGGGTGTGCCAAGCGGGAAGTGGCCGTGACTGGGGAGCCAAAAATGTCACTGGTCTTCCCACCAGGGGGGTTCAGATGCTGCCGAGTCTGCACGGGAGTCGATTCGTCGAAGATGCCACTTCCTTTCCCACCTGCAGAAACAAACAGAACACGGGGCACTCGGAACATCTGTCTGGTCCTACCCCACACATTCGTCACCTCTCACGGTGACATCCTAGTGCCAGCCGTGGGTTCCAGCCAACAGGGCAGGACGAACAGACGCTAACTCCTGAAGGCCCCCGTCAAACCGCACCCTTCACCTGGGGCCTGCTAGAGCCTCCGTGTCTAGAACAGAGCCGACCTGGACTGGCCTGGAGAGGGGAGACGCCATAAAACAGCACTTTTCCCGCTAGAATTTCCTAACCATGCTTTCCTGCTGAAGCATCTTCTTCACTAAACCCATGAACGCTTCTTTAGTAGGTTAAAAGCAAACAGCTAAGTGTCTAGGTCACACAGACAGCTCCGCATCTAGTAACGCGCCCTGCTCCAGGGAAACCTGGAACGTAGCATTCACTTGTCATTCTTCTGACCCCATTCTGGCTGTAACTGCTGGTGACAACTAGATGTGTCACCCAGTTAGAGTCATGTAACATCTCTGCTGCCAACTATAAGCGACTTGATAAGCCATAATGAAACGTCCATCTAAGGTGTTACTTCTATAAGTAGGTAACTACGGCTTGGGTGTAAAACATACATGCGCACACCAAGCGAAAGGATGGCTACTAAGATACCAGCTGCTCGTCTCTGAACAAGCACCAAGCACCTCCCTGCCACAGAGTGTTACGCTAAAGGGAGGTACGCATCGTCACGTCACGGCCTGGTGCGCTCCCAGGACAGCCCAGGCACGCGCTCTGCTGAGCGGGGCTCAAAGGAACTGGCTCACCCACCTGGAAGTGCCTCGGGTGTGACTTTGGTCAAGAAATGTTTGCACCCAGAACTGGGGTGAGGCAGGAAGTAGCTCCAGCTCTGGTCCTGCTTGACTGATCATCTGTCTGACATACTGTCTCCCGCGTGTGGCCGCTCAAATTCCGTGAGGATGGAACAAACCATGCTTCCCCTAGTGGACACGGACAGGGGAAGGCCTCTCGGGCACCATCACTGTACACTCAGCTCCACGGTCCCTCAGGCAGGAGAAACCTTTTCCACAGAGCCTCTCCCACCGTAACCGCTAGAAGGTGGGGTAAGTAACTTAAGACTATATATATGTGTCCTAGATCAGTTCTCCCTTTTTAGAGTTTCAGTCCCCCTGACAATGTGATTAAAAACAGTCTCCCTCCCTAAGAACCATGTTTAAATGCACAGTAATTTGCATGCAACTGCAGGACTCTCAAGGGGTCCACGGGACATGTGGAAGAGCCTCCCTGGCAGGAACCAGAATCCCACCCGCTCCTCGTACCCTCAGGGGCTGCACCCAACCAGCGTCTGCTGAACAGACGGAGAATTCGAGCATGCTCAAGCCACCTTCAAGAGAGAAAGTGAAAATCATGAGAAGAACTTTCTTTCATTTTGGAAGAACTCTGATGACAAGCCACAACCTGTCCCAGAAAATATGTGGAAGGATCAATATAAAGAAATAGAAAACATCTTCAGAAGAACATAAAGCAGGTGGAGGCCGAAGGATTAACAAGGGCCCACACCTGGGGGGTTTGTCCTCTTGGGTATGTTCCGAGGTTCTTCAGTTGGTCCAAAAATATTAGATGCCATCCTATTAGGCCTGCTTGAAGGAACAGCTTCTTCTGGACTTCCAGAAAGATTGCTCGGTTCTCCCCCCGGAGGCTTCATGGCCCTGCAAGGACAGAGCGAACACACGTCACCGGGGGCTGACCTGGCAGCTTGTCACGGGGCAGAGTATTTTCCTAGTGTCTATGGAGAAATCACGTACCACGGTTATTTAATACTGGCATGACTGGTTCACAAGTGGCCACATGGCAAACTTATTTTAGTGCTCTTAGGACTTCCTTAAAAGTTTTCTTTAGGTATCTTATTTATGCCAAAAAATCTCTAGAAATTTGTGTATTTTGAAATTAGCCCTATGATCTCTTGTAAATAAAATTAAACTTCCCCTAAAACAGGCAGATTGAGCCACATTCAGTACACTTTAACGCTAATTTTAATCATTAGACGGTGGTGTCTACTACTACAAACACACTGGATGTGTTTAATGCTGCTGCTTACGTTTGTGATGTGCTTACTCTACGCTAGATACTATTCTAAGCACTTTACAAGCGTCTTACAGTCACTCAATCCCACAACAACCCCATAAGGCAGGGATTTTCACAGATGATGAATCTGAGATAAAAAGAAATCAAGTAATTTGCCAAAAACCACACAGGAAATAGCAGAACCAAGATTAAAACGCAGGCAGTCTGGATCTAGAGCCTGGACTATGCCCCAACACCTCTCTTAAGGGTCTCTAGAACGAGGGGCACCCACCCTCACCCCCGCGCAAGCCTGCCTCGCAGGGCTGGACCTGCCACTCCACCACGGGAGCCAAGGCCACCGAGTGCTCGGATGTGGCTGGTGTGGGCCGAGATGCACATCTCTCCAAGCGAAGGCAAAGTCGTCTCCTTAATCATGTCTTTTTACTGATCACGTTGAAATGTTTTGCTTATATTAGATTGATGAAATCTATTAAATTAACTGCTGATTCTTATTACTTTCTAAAAACGTGGCTACTAGAAAAATCTTAAATTCCATCTATGGCTCACATTGCTGTACGGTGTTGGCCTCGACCATGGGAAGTGCCACCAACGTTAATCCGAGTGTGTGCTGGGAGTCTACGCGGTCCTGAAGTCTGGTGTGACCAGACAGAAGCTGAGTACCGAAGGTCAAAGAATACACGGACTAGCACCACTGTTCAGATCGAATCGACGCACACAGACGTCACCCCAAAACACACGGGCACTCTGCGAACACGGACTTTAGTCAAACACCTGTGAGGATGTAGTGTTCCCACTGCTGTCACGAGCAGCAACATGGTGACGTTCTGGTCTTTGGGAAACGGTGTCGTGTGCTATTTGGAAGTCCATATTTAACAAGTAGAGGATCAGGACCTTGAGTCACTTTTTATTGCAAAAACTGAATAACTAAGGAATTCCCACAAAGCTCGACCCCCGGGCATACGTTCGCAGGCGGGGAAACACTGCATTCATACACATTTTTTCAGAAAACCCGGGAAGATTTTTAAAATGCACCCTAGAGAGAGAGGCCTACTGAAATTGAGTTTTAGAACGAGCGAGCAGCCCATGCTTTCACTAGTCCTAAGCAGTGGGACTATCCGTGGTCCCAGACACGTCAGAATACACTTGGCCCTCTGTACCTGTGACTTCCACATCCGTGGATCCAACCAACCTCAGACAAAAAATAAAAACAAACAAACAAACAAACAAAGAACATTTGGGTCTGTACCGAACGTGTACAGACATTTTTGTGCACAGGTTATATGCAAATACTAAGACATTGTACATGAAGGATCTGACCACATGTGGATTTTGGTAGCTGCAGGTCCTGGCACCACCTGCCAAGGATGATTGTCCGTGAAACCACAGGGCTCATCGAAACACGAAGCTATGGTTGCAGGTAAGGCCTCAGTGGAAGCCACGCAAACACTGACCGCTCAAGGCTAGCAAAAAGAATAGGACATTGAAATGTCTGTTTCCTCAAAGGAGCTGGAAAGAGAGCTGACTGCTCCCTGTGATTTCACACGGATGGTTCTCAGCTCTCCTGGACTGCAGGAGGCGAAGAACTCGTCCGCTTTATGGAGGGCAGACAACGCGCCAGGCTCGGCCTGAACACGGACCCGCTGCTGGCCGTTCAAAACCGCAGAAGCCA